TGGCTAATGAATTATTTTAATATACTATGATTAAATCGCAGGCTATGGCAGGTTGTTTTATATATAACCAAATCACAGTGTATGGCAGGTCATTTTATTAAAAGATCAAATCACACAAAGTATGGTAGGTGGTTTTAATTTAAGATCAAATCCTATTTATGGCAGGTGGTTGGTATTGTCAAATCACAGCGTATGGCAGGTGGTTTTCATTTACTATGATTAAATCGCAGGGTATGGCAGGTGGTTTTATTATATAATCAAATCACAGCGTATGGCAGGTGGTTTTCATATACTATGATTAAATCACATATATGGCAGGGGTTTTTATAATATAATCAAATCACACAATGTATGGCAGTTCATTTTAATATATTATGATTCAATCACAATGTATGGCAGGTCATTTTAATATACTATGATTAAATCACAGAGTATGGCAGGGGGCTTTATTATATAATCAAATCACACAGGTATGGCAGGTGGTTTTAATATAAGATCAAATCATATGTATGGCAGTGGGTTTTATGATTAAATCAAATGACAGTGTATGGCAGGTCATTTTAATATACTATGATTAAATTACAGTGTTCACAGGTGGTTTTATTAATTAAATCACATGTATGGCAGGTCGTTAGGATACATAAATGAATCATGCTCCTCTCCACAGCTACTATTTGAGACAAAAACAATTTTTTTTCATCAGAATGGAAATAAAAAATATCCACACATTTGTTATTAATCAAAATACCAAACATTATAACAGAAGCTTTATAATAAAATAAATGTAAAATACTTTTAAATATTAGTAACTTTTTAAAATAATTCCTGGATTCATTATTCATCTTAAAACAGATGATTTCATGGAGTTAAACTAAAATTATTGATAAAAATTTAAACTTGACAAACTGAGAATGACCAAAACTTATAAACGTCTCTGATTTACTGAAGAACAAAAAGTTAAATTAGATTTTGTTGAAGCGATTACAACAAAACGTTCAGTTGATTTGAGTGAAAACGATGAGAATCAGATGAAAAAACAGAGTTTTTACTGACCGGCTTGTTTTTACAGAGCAGTGATTCTGCAGCTCTTGGCCCGGCCCGCTGCCATTGTTCCTCAGAGCTCTGAAGGCCCCTCCTCTCATGGTGGGTGTCCGAGGTCTCACCCCGACAGACGCCGGCGAGCAGAGCCCAGCTCCGTCCCAGATGATGCGGTGGGACCCGGGAGGCAGCCGGACCCTGGCGGCGGTGGGAGTTTGGCCCCGCTCGGCCCGACGCTGACASGTGGGCGTCGGCCTGGACTCGGGCCTCCCTTCAGATGTTTGACAGGGAAGGTGGAGGTTTGGGAACGGGGGTCGGTGTGGGCCGGTTCTGGGCTGGAGCTCCTGGTGTGGGCGTCCGGGACAATCATCGGAGCCGTTTGGCAGAAACTGGAACAGCAGCGAGTGCTGAGCGCTGGGTCGTCTTATTAAGAATTATCAGAGCACTTTAATTAATTCCTGCTGAATTTAAGGTCAACCTTTCAAAATAAAAGACTCACAGAAGATAGATTTCTGAAGAAACATAAAAATCATTCAGAGCTTCATCTAAAATAATAATAATAAAAAAATGAACTGAAGATGATGAAAAATATTTAAACTGATACCAGAGACTCATTAGGGTAACCATGGTAACCACACCTGCCTGTCACTCCCTGATTGCTTAGTTAATGAGAGGCAGACAAACTAATCAGATCTTAGTGTCTGTAGCTGTGTTTCCATTACAAATGTGTGCAAAACTTTGTCGATGTTCTGTTAATTAAAAAAAAAACACAGTTTCACAACTGCAGTGTTTCCATTAAGTAATAAATGTTATTAAAGTCACGTGAATACGTTTGTTC